TTTGTGTGTATATGAATGGTTTATGTGTTTTTTAGGATGCTGATTGTGTTGCAGGCTGTGCAAAAAATTGCCTCAGGGGATTAAAAACTATTTACTTTACCTTTTCATTTCAACCTGTATGGACATTACCATCACGACAGCTATGGACACTGGACATACAGCGTATCTGGGCAGGCACGGACAGTTAATCTCTATTTTTGTAACCATTTCGCTTTTTCTTGTTCATTTTGTTTGTCTTATGGTTTATACAGTATATACCTGCCTTAAAGAGGAGGTATTCTGCTCATGTTCAGGTTCCTCATCTTATTTAGAGGTTGTACCAGAGCAGGTTTACATGGTTATATTTTTGCTGCAGCTCCTCTTTTCAGCCTGTGTTGAAGGCTTCGTTTTAGCTATGGAGTGATACATCTTGTCTCTAAATGATCTTTGTTGGGAGTTGCACATGCTCAGTTCCTAGTTAAGGACTACTAGCCAATCAGAAGCAGAGAAGGGCGGGTCGGCGAGAAGCCGGTAAACAGCTCGGGTTCAGCCGTACGTGTTGCCGACCGGCTTGGCAACATGGGCTGGATTTTGGGCTTTTTACATGCACAAAAAAGAACGAGAGGGAAAAAGCCTAAAGGCAGAATACCACCTCTTTAAGACTTGATCTGCACCATAACTATCTGAGCTTATTCTACAATTGAATCTATGTTTTGTGTGAAAGTGACCGTCCCACCTTTCCCAGGTAGGAGTGTTTTCCCAGCTGTGGACTCCACTGGTGGGTCAGCAAGTTGAAGGTCCTGTAGCTCTCAGTGAACGCCGCCCTGACGTCCTGCAGTTTAAAGACGCACACGGCAGATTCTGGACCTGAGGACCTGAACAAGACCAGAGACAATACTCATTTTATTTCTGAGAGAACAGAACTGCAACATTTAGTTTTAAAGGTCCAGTTGAATGCTCATTTTCAGGTTCATGCTTGTATTTAGGGTTTTTACTAGAAAATGTTTACATGTTTTCGTGGTCAAAAAACACATTATATTTCTTACACTGTCCACTGCTTCAGCTCCTCTTTTCACCCTCTGTCTGAACACCCTCTGTCTCTTTAAGGCCCCCCTCCCAGAAAGCCTACTTTCCTTTGATTGACCAACTTCCCTGAGCACAAGGAGGGGTGGGGCCTAGCTGCAACGGGCTTAATCAAGGCCTGCTATGTGAGACTGGGCCTCACTGATTACAACTAACAACTATATTCACAAGTTTTGGTGAAAATAGATCGGATGTGATGGAGAAAATATTGTCTGGTTTCCCCTCTGACGTCCTTCGGCTGCTCTGCCTCCACTTTTGGTGATTTAATTCGATTCAATTTCAATTCCATTTTATTTATATAGCGCCAAATCACAACAACAGTTATCTCAGAGTGCTTTTCATAAAGAGCAGGTCTAGACCGAACTCTGTGATGTTATTTACAGAAGCCCAACAGTTCCCACCAAGAGCAGCACTAGGAGACAGAGGCAAGGAAAAACTTCCTTTAAGAGGCAGAAACCTCGAGCAGAACCATGGCTCAGGGTGGGCGGCCATCTGCCTCGACCGGTTGGGGTGAGAGAGAGAGAGAGCGAGAGAGGGATGGAAGAAGAGAGGGGAGGGAGGCAGCCTACACAATACACACACAGAGGTACAGACAGTAAAGGTGATGTTGCTATAGACTAAATGAATAATGGTACAGATATTTATAGTTATGTTAATGATTATAACAACAATAGGACTAGTAACAATAGTCGTTGCAGCAGAGGGTGTCGAGCAGGAACACGGGGGCAGCAGGTGACCCGCAACCACAGATCCAGACTCCACAGCTCCAGAGCCAGAAACACCTGCAGGAAGTGATAGGAGGAGAGGAGAGAGACGAGAAAGCACAAGACTACCAGAAAGGGGAGAAGTTGAGTTAGTAACATGCAATAATGGGATGAGGTTGCATACAGAGGAGAGAAAGTAGAGGAGAGAGGAGCTCAGTGCATCATGGGAAATCCCCCGGCAGTCTAGGCCTATAGCAGCATAACTAAGGGATGGTTCAGGACTCACCTGAGCCAGCCCTAACTATAAGCTTTATCAAAGAGGAAAGTCTTAAGCCTACTCTTAAATGTGGAGATGGTGTCTGCCTCCTGAACCCAAACTGGAACCTGGTTCCACAGGAGAGGAGCTTGATAGCTGAACGCTCTGGCTCCTAGTCTACTTTTGGAGACTCTAGGAACCACAAGTAACCCTGCATTCTGGGAGCGCAGTGCTCTGGTGGGGTAGTAAGGTACTATGAGCTCTTTAAGATCAGATTTACAGAGTTTAAATGTTACCAGTTACTTTAGCTGCTATCTTAGTTAGCCTTGCAGCTAGCCGTCCTATGATTCTGCCCAGACTGGAAGCTTGATGCTCCTGGGGTGTGTTGGTGTTTACACTTCTAACATAAGTACAGAAGCTTTGGACTGCTGGTTTAGAGCCAGCTGGTAGCAGCAGCTAGTGGTTACTGTAGCATTAGCAACCAGTAAAGCTGTCTGTCCATCAGGAAACCATAAAAATCACAGAGTTGAGGCAGAGCAGCCGGAGGACATCAGAGGGAAAACCAGAACACTTTTGCAACCAGCAACCAGGAACACTAACGAACCAGCGGTATCGATGACCCGGGCCAACGACCCCACAGAGGTTAAATAGCTGAGTTTCCCTGCCAGTCAGTCAGAACTGAAGAAGTCCTTTGGATGAGGGACGAAACGTCTTCCAGTATCTTCAACCAAGTCCAGTTGCCCTTGATTTTAACCTTCGTTGGAGAAAACTTTTCCCTTTCCTTCAGAACCGTAAAAGCACTTTCTGATAGACGCTGAAGAACCTCTAACTCTGGAACGTGGACTGGTTTATGTAACTTTTGGATCCCAGATGTTACATCACATCTAGCTCTTGTTGGAACAAGATTTACATATGGAGGAAACGATGGTGATTGAGGCTCACGGTATGTCAGTTACATGTACAGATTTTTTATTTTAACCAACTATTCCCCAGTAAATACAGTTTTCCATTCTGTGGGACCTTAACTATCTTATCTCCAACATGGTTTACTGTGGACTAGTCCCAGGCCAGTCAGAAACACTAATGTCAAGAAGAGGACCATTTATAGCAAGTAGTTCCACAGATTTGGTGAAAATGCCCCCAAAAAATAAACACACATGATTGTTTTCTTACCACTGAGAGGTGAAGGCGGCGTAGAACAGAGTCTCTGAGGCGTCGGTGCCCTCTGGTGGCTGGAGGGTGAACACGTCCTGGAGAACATTGAAGGGAAGCTGTCTGTGAGATTGGCAGAGCAGAGGGGCTTTGGCAAAGGACGTCCACTTCTTCTGCAGAGTGCTCCTTCCACCAACATCATCCTGCAAAGACAAGAGAGAACAAACTTGAATGTTATTTTAACGGCACATTCTGCAGACAGGGGCTCCTCTCTGTGTTTACTCTCACCTTGCAGACTTGGGCCACCCGGGCAATTCGCAACTCGTCTACAAAGCTGAACTCTTTCCCAACTTCACTAAAGAAGAAGTAGAGTTTCCTGTCTGACGAGTCCAACGACGAGCTGACAAACACTGGCTCTGAAATACAGGAAGTTGTGACAGATGAGGAAACTGAGGGTGCAATATCATATGAAGGTAGGGAAAAGAGATCTGAGAGCAGATAGCTGAGTGACTGAGACTCAGATGTGATAATACAGGAATATTTTAAAAGGACCTGTGTTTTTGCATGTTGTACCTTACTTGACAGTTACTGATGAAGAAACTGGCTTTCTGCCCTAGCCCCAGCCTGTTCAGTGCTGAACAGAACAGTCCCAGCCAAAGCCCCTCCATCTTTCTTCATTCCCGGAGATCTACCATGTCTTTGCCCCTGGTCTCAGCAAACATCAGGCCCTGTCTCTGCCTACCTACCAGCCGGCTCTATCTCAACACGAGGCCATGGAGAAATACATGAAGGAATCCCTGGCAGCTGGATTATTTCATCCCTCCTCTTCTCTGGTGGAGGCTGGGGTTTTATCTGATGGTACACTCAAAACTTGCATAGATTTTCATGGATTTAATAATTTTACTGTCAAGAACAAATTCCCTCTGCAACTAATCAGTTCTGCTTTTGCCCCTCTCCAGGGAGCCACTGTCTTCATTAAACACACACCACCTCGTTCGCATCAGTGAAGGAGACAAGTGGTGAAACTCCTTGATCGTACCCCTAGGACACCTGTTGCCAACCTGCTTCATTCATTTCATGACCTTGGAGATTGAGTCACTGGTAAGTGAGGCCTACAGTCAACAGGCGGACCCAGGTAGCGGACCCTCTGATCGTCTTTTTGTCCCATATTCTGTCCGCTCTCAGATCCTCCAGTGGGCTCATGCTGCCTGACTCACCTTTCACCCAGGACTAAATCGGACACTAGCTTTCCTGCGGTTCTGGTGGCCAACCCTGGACGTGGACCCAAGGTCCTTGATCTCTGGCTCTCCAGTGCATGTGTAGAAGAAACCATCCACCAACGCGAGTTCTGGTCTCCTCCGTCCCTTTTCTGTTGCACCTGGTCTCACATTGCTCTGGATTTTGTCACAGGCCTCCCTCACTCTAATGGTAAACTGTTATACCTGTTATATTACATTACATTACATTCATTTAGCTGACACTTTTATCCAAAGCGGCTTACAAGAGGTTGCACATCTCCAGAGCAATGAAAGGTTAAGTGTCTTGCTCAGGGACACATTGGCATAACCCTGGTCTCCCACCCCAAAGGCATGTGTCTTTTCCACTTTCCCATCGCCATAGCCGGACTCGGCTGCAGCCTCAGGTTCAGGAGGAGTGTTCCAGCCAGAGGAGAAATTATTAAGACTGAACTCCTGTCTAAATGGACCTGTGGTAAACCTACAAACCCAACATAGTTTGGATCATCTTATACTTTGCGAAACACAAAAAACAGCCGGTGCTTTCACTAGAAGCTGGATATTGCTTCACTCACCATGCAGTAAGCTGAGAGACGAGTCCTGGCTGACGTCTGGGCGGCCATCTTTGCTGAAGTGTCTAGAAATCTGTGGTTTGGTTCCTCTTAAGTCGGTTGTTGTGGCGGTGAACAGCTCGCCGTCTGCACACAACAGCTGAGGTTGCATTTGGGTTTTAAAGCACACGCGTGTGCAGCAGAACATGTGTGACTGACAATCTCAACTCTAGTTTAGTAACGTATGAAGAAAATACCAAAGACGTTCAGATCTGAACCTGAAAACTGATTATGCTATTGTGTGGAATATAATGGAGTTTCCTGCGGCTTCATACATGTGCATGTTGAATGATCTGTTATGAAAAAAAGGTTTTTGTATTTACATCTGGAACGCATCTTGAAACACTTGATATGTTAAATCATGTGTGATTTCTGATTGACAACTGCTTTACTTGTGGAGCAAATCAATCCCCATAGGCGTCCACTGAATAACATTGACTTCGAAATGCCTGTTGCAAACTGATCAGTTGTACCTACGCTCATTATGACATGTACAGTTGAGTTGAGTTTTTAGGTTATTATGAGTGACATATTGACATATTGCACTAAAGTCCATAGAGGCCCATTAACTTCCATTGTATTTATATATCCACACCAGCAAACGGTGACATACAGTTTCGTAAAAACATAATGTATTGAAGTCAACGGAGGCCTGTTTAGCCCATTCAGATCAGTCAAATTCATAATTCAGTATTTAAACTTCAAAATGCTCAGTATTGAACACTGATCAGCTGTGATCATTATGAGAGTTAATGCCCAAGTGTTACCCGAGTGTTTTAAAACTCCAGTCACTCCCATTACATCTCAAACTCAACCGATATATTAAAGTCAGACTTTTTAGACTTGCAAACAGGTATGAGAGGTCCAAGCACCTAGCGCAGTTCAGACCTCGGACATCCTGAAGAAAATGTTATCACGCATTTTATTTTAATAGCTTTTGAGTGCTTGGATCCTTTTACACCTGTTTGCCAGCCTGTTTAGTTTGTGTTTGTTCAGTATTTTTCTTTAACAAACGTTCACCACCGATCACCACAGCTGTGACTCAGCAGGGACCGGACTGACCGACGTGATGGCGGTGTTCCTCTGGAAGGGGCTGAACGGACAGCGCCTTTAGCTTCGTCCTGTTGGACCATGGAGAAGCTTTCTGCATCCTGAGGGAGACGAAGAAACAGAGGCTAGAGTGAACTGTAGAATCATCAAAGTCATGTCTGAACTGGAGGTTTGATTTCAACCCGGTTCCTACTTTCATTATTTTGTCTATTCGTAATGTAATCAATAGACAGACAAATGTAAGTACCGGCTGTTAATCAGCCAGAATGACTCATCATACTTCTATTCGGTGTCTGGAGAGACTTACGATGTAGGCATCATGGGGGGTGTAGGCGTAGCTGCCACAGGCGTAGAGGTGGGTGGAGTTTATCGGTGCAAAACACGCACAAAGTTCGGACAGTCGACCTGCAAACAGACGGTGAACAAAATCTGGTGTAACAGTTTTGTTGAAGCGTTCTCTGTTTTGCTTTGTTCCAGAGTCACTGTGTGCTCAACCGCGAGCGATGCAGACTGCCCTACCTTATTCATGGAGATTGTTGTGATGTATGCGGCCAGATAAAAAGAAAATAGCCGTATACACTGCTATGGGGGAAAAAACTACTCCCAGCTGCAGTTTCTTAGGTACAAATAAATTAATCTGTGTTTTTTTTTAAGTTAATATTCTCCTCAAAAGCTTGAATCAAACATCACAGGTAAAGCTTGACTGAAACTAAAAATGATTGGTGCATTAAGAATTATTTTTGCACTATTATGGAAAGAACAATAACCGATTTCCGATTTTATCATAATTTATTTGGTAGATTGACCTACGATCAGGAAGGCAGCAGGAGGCTATGGCACCAGGCTTTCATGAGGCAGCTGTGGCTCAGGAGGCAGAGTGGGGTTGCCATTAATCGGAATATCGGCAGTTTGATCCACCGGATCCTCCAGTCTGCTTGTCGTGTCCTTGGACCAGATACCAAACCCGAAATTGCCCCGGCTGCTCCACCAGTGTGGAATGTGTGTGAATGTTAGTTTTTGTTCAGAGCAGTAGGCTCAGTTTATGAATGGGTGAATGTGACACAGTGTAAAAGCACCTTGAGTGGTCGGAAGACTTGAAAGGCGACATACAAGCACAGACCATTTATCACTACAGACTACATCTTAGTCGCACCACAAGTCAGACAAACACTTTCATTTGAAAGACGTACAACAGTAGCAACATTTAGCTTAGCATTGCAACCGGGGTCTGAAAATAGCACCAAAGCAAAACATGCAGGAAATTGTCTGACACGTGTGGTCTTCAGGGAACATCTTTGGCAGCGTTTCAATCCAAGCTCACCAGTCCGGAAAGGCCCAGCTCGTCCTGAGAGACAGCCAGTGCGCCGCTTGCTACTGGATTAGGGGAGGTCACTCCAGTGCTGTCAGAGAATCACTATGCTTGTCTATTATGCGTGAGAGGCATCACTTCCTTAGCCAACATTTGTCTGATTGAAAGCGTGTTTTTGGTATCCAGAAGAGGAGTTTTTTGAGGAGATATGGACCCTTGTGGAGATTTGAACTGAGATAGGACTCATTCATTAGTAGTTGAACTGGGAGTTTTGTATGAACACTGAACAACTTTGTGTTTCTTGTCAACTGAAAGGGCAGATAAAAAAAAAGTTCATTTCAGACCTGTAGCCATTTTTTTTCACTGAGAAGAAAAACAATACCCACGAGGCAAGAGGTGAAAATCATTTCATTCATCAATAGGATGGAGGTGTGTCTCATAATTACCTCTGCGTTCTTCCCTTTAAGTTGACACTCATTATTTCGCTCTCAGATGGACTCCACTCCTGGACCAGAGACACTGCTGATTAATCCAAATCTTTACTAATGCATAACTGAGCCGATAAATCTTAATCAAAGCATCATGGGAGATGGGGGAGCTCACCTCTTCTTCAGGTGGATGATGTCACTCTGACTGACGTCCAATGAGAGGATGGCGTCCCGGGCCCCTACGTACAGGGTGGATCCATCGTCGCTT